TGATAGACTTACAGGCTTTTTCTCTGTGGCCTAAGGGGGACCCAGAACCAGCTCAAGCTGTTTATACATCTCTTTGACTTTGCCAAGAGGAGGGTGCAATCTATAGAGCTGTTCCTTGGGACCATTCTAATTTGTTTTAAACTTTTTAAAAGAATGCTGGCTTTAATTATAGAATCTCTGAATGGGTTCCTGTGTGAGGCCATGAAATCTTTTAAATGTGTTTACAAATAAGCTAGACTTCTACCCCTGCCTATGAGTAGAATGGAAACAAAATAATCTCTGGAGATGATCTCTGGTCCTATTATCGGATTTTCTGTCCAGCCCAGTGTTAATAATATCCCTGAAACAGATGATGTTCAAAGGTTCAAAGAAAGCTGTAGCTCAAAGTGTTGTGACAGATACTGAGAAAACCCTTGTGCCTACAATTAAGGGATGCCACGTGCACATTTTAAAGTATTTTCTAAGATAGGCATAGTGGCTACTTGGGAAGCTGAGGTGAGAAGATCCATTAAGGCCAGGAGTTCAAGACCAGCCTGGGTAGCATAGTAAGAACCTATCTCTAAAATAAACAAATGAGATATTTTCCAAACTATATACATTTATATGTAGCATATTAGAAATTTAAAACAGAACATTTTTGGAACCATAAATTATATAAACTTTAATATGGTCCTACTGCTAAGCCCTTAGAAAACAGCACAATGTAATCTACCCCTAGAATTGATCAGCTGATCAAAATTAAATCAAAATCTTATCTTTTCATTAATGCACATTCTAAAGGAAGACAGAAGAACAATAAAGCGATATGATGTTAGATTATGTCTTAATTTCATACTGTGTTATTTTAAATATCATCATTCATGATTCAGAAATTCATCAAAATTTCCTAAGCAGGTGTCTACCTAGAAAAAGATATTTTAATTAAAACTGTTAACCAAGGTAAGAAGAGTCCCACACTAAGAGCTTGGCTGGGATGGCAGCACCTTGACAAAGGGTGCAGGCAAAATTTTGCCACTCCAGGCAAAATTTAAAAAAATATTTTCCTGTGTATTTTACTAGAAGTGTTATAATTTTACCTTATATGTTTAAAGCAGGCATCCTCAAACTACAGCCCACAGGCCACAGGCAGCCCACCTAGGACATTTATCCTGCCCGCCAGGTGTTTTTGCCCCTGCTGCCTGTCCTGCTTAGCAGCCAACTTGTTCTGGGGCCTGCAGTCTGGCCCTCCAACAGTCTGAGGGACAGTGAACTGGCCCCCTGTTTAAAAAGTTTGAGGACCCCTGGTTTAGAGTTAAGATAGAGCTAAGTGAATTTGTAGTTTGGGGATGTAGGCATATGGCATGGCACACATACTTTTAATTTAGCTGATTTTTCTTCCAAATGTTGATATCATTCTAGCAGGCACTTTATAAACAGACTCTTGGTTATTTATGTTATTCCTTTTCCTTTCTGATGATTTCTTTTATCAACACCTATTGTTGACTTTATAATAAGTCATGAAATAACATGTGGTAAGACTTCTGATGTTCTGTTGCTGCTGTTTCTTCAAGATTATTTTGGACTATTCTAGATTGTATGATTTATTTTTATTAGCCTGGATTTTAAGATTGTTTTGACTATCAAGTTTTGAATCAACTGTCAATGTTTATTAATAAACTGATGAGATGTTTTAATAAAAAAAAACTGCTACTCTAATAAAAGAAAAATATCTCAGGATTAAGCCAGGCACAGTGGCTCACGCCTGTAATCCTGGGAAGCTGAGGCGGGTGGATTGCCTGAGCTCAGGAGACTATCTTGAGCAAGAAGACCCCATCTTTACAATTAGCTGGGTATTGTGGCAGGCACCTGTAGTCCCAGCTACTCACGAGGCTGAGGCGAGAGAATCACTTGAGTACAAGAGTTTGAGGTTGCTGTGAGCTCTGACACCACAGCACTCTACTGAGGGTGGCAAAGTGAGACTCTGTTAAAAAATAAATATAAATAAAAGATTCTGGAGAATGTGATCCATGTAAACTTAGCTCATGATGTTCCCTTCATGGAGAATGCCACCCTAAGCAGCACCAACCGAAACAAATGATTCTCTCCTGTGGGAGAATCTAACCCTATGGTAGAAAATCTTCACTATGGAAAAAAATAAAATTCTAAAGGAGTTAACAATGAGCTATTGCTTTTTAAATGCCATACAAGTTGAAGTGATTCCTTAGAATGTTAAGAACCTCCATGGATCCCAAGAAAGAAAAAAATTGTGCCTAAAATAGACATAAGTTATATCAAAAGTTCATGAGGCCAAACATACATGAGTAATATTCACCATTTTTTAATTATTTTTCATTAAATCATAACTTTGTACATTGATTCATTTATGGGGTTCAGGGTACTGCTTCAACATACAATGTGAAATGCTTACATTGAACTAAGCAACACATCTGTCACAAATTATAGTCACTTCTTAATAGTTTTGAAATGTACCATTGCATTATGCACATTAGGTGAGGTTCCC